AATAATAATAATAATAATAATAATAATAATAATAATAATTTTATTGCTTATAGACTTACAGAAAGTATCAAGCAAAGTCTGACTAGAAATTATTTAAAACTACATTAAGTTAGTTTAATTATTTAACATGAATCATTTACAGTAATAATTTAAAAAGTTTACTTGTCTTGATAAGTTATATGTTAAATATATAAAATTGATTAATATAAACAATTAAATTAATTTACGTTATTACAGGAATTAAATTCAATTACATAATATGCAGTAATGGTTAAAATGTTTACATGATAAATTACATGATTTATAAAGCATGCAAGTGTTCATAATATGCATTAAAATAATTTACATTTTTGAACTACAGAAAGTCTCATTATCAAATTAAAAATAACATTAACACTACCTTAATTAGGATTACATTAAAAATACACTAATTCATTACATTATCACATTATGATACAATAGCAAGTACTTACTTACAATTAAAGTGAGTAATCCTACAGTAGTTTTTCAATAACTTCAATTAACTTTAATAACCTGAATACCTTAGATGTTAATAAGAACTGAAGCACTTACAATATCCTGACATAAATTTTTTACTACATTACTAATTAGTAAATTGGCTTATTGCACTGAAAGGTTAGTCTAGAGTGGTCACTTTTGTAGCGGTACATGGTTTTAATTACAGAGAATTTAAAGCAATTCAGATATCTTATATGGACACAAACTAATAAGATGTTGTTTAAGCAATGTTTTGAAGTATATATTATCTGCTGATTTTATGGTAACTGGCAGTTTATTAAAAATCTGTGCTGCAATGCAGAAAGGATCATTTTTAGTTGAAGACTTGCTAGTGTATATCCTGTGATAGTCCCTATGCCCTTTGGTAGTTATGTACCTCTTTATTACTCACAAGATATTGATTCTGATTATTTTTCAAAGGTAATAATGATTTGTAAGAGTGAAGAGCTGCAACAGTCAGTAATTCATATTTAATAAATAAATCTTTACAATATTCTCGAATTCAGTTTAAAAATGCTTCTGATTCATTTCTTTTGTCTTCTATCATCAAACATATTTTTATTTTAAGACCAGTAGTTATGAATTTCTAATGTCATTTAATAAAAAGTAATGTATTTTTCAGTATGTGAAACAACAATTAAAATTAGTATCCATCTCTAAAATTAATTACAGTGTTGTGTAAAAGTACAACATAGGATTTCCTTTAATATATAATTGTGTGTCTTTTTTTGTAATTTTGGAATCAAAATTAAAATATATACTTAGTTTGTAACTGCTCTGAAATATTTATTCATGTTGTTTAATGAATGAAGTGTGTATGATAACGTAATTGATTTGTAATACCAATTTACTAAATCATTAAATTCTGCTAAAATCAAATTTCAATTGTCACATTTTCTAGTCATACTCAATGAGATCAGATGTTTTATAATGGTGTTCAATCATTAACACATGTTATTAAAATACAGAAATGCTTTTCATTGTATGTTTAGATACATTTTATTGTTTTTGTTTTAAAATATTAAATATGCCTAAGAAATATTGTTTAGTGTTACTGCAATAATGAACATCTTAGTAAGAAAACCAAAAATACAACTAAGTGAAAATTAGCCAGTAGCAATGCCCCCAAAATAAAATAATAGTTTTGTGAGGGTTAAAAATGATACGCAGAGAAATGTGTAAACAAAAAAAGTGCCGTTTTAAAAATTGTTTTTGCTTACTGGACAGAATTTGGCCCCCCCACCCACCCCCATTCTGGGATTTATCAACTGGAATCTCTTTCAATGTAACAATCTTATAGAATGTATTTCATTTCTAAATATATTCTGGTACCTTTCTCTTTAATGAACATTTTTAAGCCTATAATTTGCTTTACATTAAAAATCCAAAGTTTATAATAATTAATTATATTTTGTATTGTTTGCAGTTATGCGCAAATGCTTATTTTGAACAACCAGAAGTTGTAAATATTTTATATAAATGTCGATCCATTGTTGCTTTTATATCTCATAATAATACTTATAAAGCAAAACTAAGAATCCAAGAACAAATGATGCAGGTACCTAAAATATAATAATTATTGTTTGTTAATTTGATATTATGGAACTATCATTTATATAAAAAGTAACAATGTTGTAGTTGGAAGAGAATACTTTGAGAATGGATTATCCTCGTGTTTGGACATCAACATATGTAATGTTGGAACAACTCCTAATAAGAAGAAACATTATTATTTCAATTCTGACTACTGCTGATATCGTTGAAAGAGACGAATTTATGTTAACTCAAGCAGAATGGAAAATTATGGAAGAAGTAGTTATGGTATTAGAACCGTTTAAAGTAAGTCAAGTCATGAAGCTGATCATATTTGTTAATAACTATTGAGTATTTGATATTATGCCTTGTGGTTACACAAAGATGAAGGATAATTGAAGATTATTTTATTCTTAGACACATTATTTTGTTATTAATGTTTAAAACTGTTACATTATTTTATTTACTGACGTTTATGACTTGGGGCAGTAACAAGATGAACCACACAGGAAGCGTCTTGCTATTCCTAATTGTTAATATCTTGATTTTGATGAAAGTGTTTTACATTGTTACAATATGTTTTATTCATTTTTATGAAGGATTAACATTTATGAATCGCAGGTGGCTTGCTGCATCTGTAGAAGTTTTATTGCTACTGCCTCTAGCCTTTCCTTTGCATAAACTAATAACATTTTTAATGTAAAAGAGTGTTTATCTCTTTAATTATATTTTAATAAAGTTTGCATTAAAGAAACCAACATTCATTTGGAAATGCTTGTGCCATGAAAATAAGATGTACAATAAATTTGGATAACAACTGTTTATTTCTCCAGGTATTAATTATGACACTTAGTGAAGAAAAGACTCCTTTTATATCACTGCTCAAACCACTTCTATGTCAGTTGAACAATTCACATATGAAAGCTAAAGACAGTGATTCAGAAAGTGCCAAAAAATTCAAGACTTTCCTTTCAGAAAATTTATTTCAAAGGTTTGAAGTTTTGCAATACTTTATTTTATGTAAACTTTATAACCAATATATAAAATGTTTTAATTTTGACAATTCAGGTATAATGATCCAAAAGTTCATCAACTACTTCAAACAGCAACCATGTTAGATGCCCGATTTAAATTGTTACCTGATGCAAATGAGGATGACAAAAATATTGTATCTGGATGTATCAAAGAAATGCTCATTAAATTTATGGACGAAGAACAGATTTCAAATGTTGCAGAAGAACAATCTGATGAAAGGAGCCGTTTGTCAGGTAAATGAAAACATATCAGCAACATGCAGTTAAAAATACTCCAGATAATCATCATTATTATCTCTTGTTTTTGTTACTGTTTGAAGTTAGATTCTTTCCATATTTTATTGTATTTTGTATTCTCAGGAATGAAGTTTTTGCTTGGAGATCAGTGCAATAGTAAAAATGGTATGCCTGCAGAAGAACAAGCAGATCTGGAGATAATGCAATACCAATCTGAGAGCATTGCTGCATTGGACCACTGTCCACTGCAATGGTGGGCTCAAGCTTCAGCAAAATGTCCTAGTTTGGCACGTCTGGCTCGTAAATATAATTGTGTCCCAGCCTCAGCAAGTCCTCCTCATCGCATTCCTATGGAAAGCCAAGTTCTGTTTGATCTTAGACGAGCAAGCTTGGGACCTGATCTTGTTGAGAAACTTATATTTTTAAATGGAAATCATAGTGTGAATGAAAATGTGTTTTTCATGCCTAAATAAACATGCTAGAAAGGTATGATGATATTTTAAAAAATAATTATTTGCCATCTAAAGTGTCCCTAGATTCTTTTTTAACCATTATACTGTGATGTTAAAAACATGATATGAATTTATTGTGGTAATCAATGGCATTAAATGTTTGACTGTGAAGAAAAAATAAATATTAATGTTTATTTTTGCTTTTATTAAAGTAGAAGTTGATTCTTTTTATCCTGGAGGTTTACACCTTTATAAGGGGTCTTCCAACTTGAATCATCATCTAGAAGGACAAGGAAATTATTCAAAACAATCTTCTGTTTGACATAGGAAATTTAAATTATCATCTTCAACTCATGTTTGAACATCGAGAAATGTTAGTAAATAATGTGTCTCTCATGCTTCACACACTGAATTGGGGTTCCTATGAATATTTCATTACTCCTACTGCAGTGCAAAAGGTGTTTATCTAAGAACGTATGTAGGGTACAAACATTTCTAATTGTTTTTTCTGAAATATTATACAGTTAGATATTTCATGTTCTACCCTCGTAAGTGTAGCATTAAGTATGCAACTACAATGCATAAATCAGTTTTTTTAAAAGGTACATTCTCTTCTTTGTAAGTACCCAGTTTTAATGCTATTTCTGATTTTAGCTAGGGCTGGTGAAAACATTTACAAATAAAATACTGTTTCTTTCTCTGAACATGATTTAAAAAATTGTGGGTGGTGTAGATAACATTAAGATGTTTTGCATTACACATTTTATTAAACACATAAAAAGCTTTCATCTCTTCTACACAATTTGATAACTATTTACTGTACAAATTTGATCATACAACACTGTTTTCAAGTTAAAAAGATGAACAAAATTTAAAGACTATAATATGCAACATTTAGTAATAGGAAAGGATGATGTATTTTATTTTAGTTGCTTGTAAAGAGAGGTGTTAATTGTGTAATTGATTACAAGCATTTGAAATTAAAAAGGAATGAATTTTTGATTGCTTAATGTTTGTTAATCCTAGAAAGACCCAAATGAGGCTTTTTATTTTTCAAGATATTTCTAAATAATAAACATACATTCAAATTGTCATGTAAAGGTTTGTATTTGGGGGTGAAATGTGTGGCGACATTTCTCTTCTGATATAATTTTAATTTGCGAAAGGGATGCATGAACAGAGACTTTTTAAGCTAAACCTGGCAAATTCATTTGAAGTCTGTACTATATTTATTATGTCAACATGTAGTTTAAATTATCGCAGTTGTAAAAACTGGTATCTATTAAATTGTCAAATGTTCCTAAAGGTATACCACCTTAAAATTAAATTATAGAATTGAGAGGCTCTTTTGAAAATTTATTTATTTTGGTTATATCAAGATTAAACTGTCATTAAAGTAACAAATCTGTTTTTATTGAAATGATAATTCATGGTAGGATTTTTAACCTGGTTTGCTAGGTACTTTTATTTAATACTAAAAAATTCATACACCCAACATATCTAATTAGAAGTTCCAATATCAACTGTTCATGTTTTATAAAAATGTGGACATAAATCTCATACTGATCTCTTGTAGGAATACTAATGTATTAGAGCCACTGCAAAAATTTATTAAAATTACTGATAAACAAATACCAAAATAACAATTTATAAGATTTTGCAAACTTACGTAAGCTTGCAAAGCAACAGTTGACACTAGATAAAAGATGCATAATTATATTGGTGTGTTACATTTTCTGTAGAGAAATCCCATTGTATAGCATATTCTAGCAGATTTGAAGAGTGTCAAGTATAAAATCATTTTATTATTCTTACCCGAAATATAAGTGCTGACAAGAAGTTGAAAACCATTAATGTAATAAAGAAAATAAGACCCAAATCCTGCACACTGAAAAGCAGATTTGATAAAAATTATACAGAAATCATATTTAGTGTATCTTTGCCCAAAATCATATAACCTTACTACTGATACTAGTACGCAGGAACCAATAGAAAGGTCATGTACAATATTTTTTTCGACATGTAATTTCTGCTTGAATTTAAAGCAGTTATTAAAAAACATTTTCTAAAGGAAAAGTATCAATTTTTTCACGAGTAGAACAAGGAACGCTTAAAAGATTTTTGCTGATCTTATTTTCGTGAACTGAAATATCACAAATTGCAAAAGGTCGAAATAATGCGAGAAGGTATTTGATGTTGGAGCACCACTAGTCGTTTGGGCAATGGTGCGTCATTCGCATCTTGAGCACCGGCGCCCTCGGAAACGTAGCTATGCCTCCGACTGGCTGTCAGGAATCAAGGACGACAAAAACTGTGACGCTAGTCTCATTTCCGGGGAACTCTCCACTTTCCAAAATCACAAAACGTTCACATTTTGCGATTTAAACTAAACAATTTAATACATTTTTAAAAAATCTGTTGTAAAAATTTAGATTTATTACGGTCACACACAATTGTTTGAAATTTACTTCCCCACGGATAAAACTAGAAACAAAACAAAAGCACAGGTCTCATTTTCGAATTGTTAATTTTCCAAATTTACCTGTTAGAAATAACGAGAAGATACCGATGCTAAATCGTTGCCTTAAGCATGTATGGCAAAGGAACTGCGTGATGGAGCGGTAGAGCGCACGCCGATGGACCAGAGTCCGAGTTGTGGCGTGTAAAATTATTTTGCCAGTTGCAAACATTTTTGCAGGTTGATCTAGTAGTGTAATATTGCGGAGTCGTTACAAATAGTGCGATAAAGTGCCGTTGGAGCACTAGTTAAATAAAGCAAGTCTATCTTCACACACTATTCCATTCATCTTTAAAAGCAAAGGAACCAATTGTGACGAGTTAAAACGAGTTGGACAGTTGGGTAAGACTTTCTTATACTATGCTAAAGGAGATTATTTTCTCAAATTAGGTGCAGTACTTTTTTGGGAAAAAAACATTCTGAGTAATTTTTTATCGAAATAAACGCAATTTCTATATTTTTCTTAAAAAGAGACCAATTTTTTCTTTAATTTCTTTCTTCGTGTACAGGAAAGGAAAACATCAAGGTCTAATTGTTTAACACTCGATTTTCAGAAATTACAAAAGATACAAATAAAGCAAAAATGTATGTGCTGTTCTGGTACAAGTAGTTACATGTGACAGTCATTTTAAACAATTACAAGTTTGATACTTTATTAAAAGTAGTATTATAATGAACGTAAATATGTGTGCAAAATATTAATCTTACGTTACTAATACATATTAGTTAATAAAATTAGTATAATTGAACTATAATACTTTGGTGTACAAATTTTATTACCAGAAGTTCAGGTAACTTGAATTTTCAAATCAAAATCTCCAGAAATTATCTCTTGAGAACGATCGACCCTTTATAAAAATGAGAAACCTACATATTATCCAGACTGCAATTTACTCTAATTTTACGTCGTATACAACAGTATAAAAGAAATAGCCAGGAAGAAAAATATAAAATGCAGTGTTGTCCTCGTAGCATATTTTTAAAACGTTAAGAATTAATAAAAACGTCAGCGCGAACGCCGAAGGAAATGGAGGATCGTTCAGCAGTGGTCCAGGGTGCATTTAGTTCAGCTCGCCAAGTGCCGTTGTGATGCTCAGCGGCCGAGCAGCCTGCGCATGGCGCCGGCGGCCAGGTGTCTGGGCGACGCTCAGCGGCCGAGCAGCCTGCGCATGGCGCCGGCGGCCAGGTGTCTGGGCGATGCTCAGCGGCCGAGCAGCCTGCGCATGGCGCCGGGGGCCAGGTGTCTGGGCGATACTCAGCGGCCGAGCAGCCTGCGCATGGCACTTGCGACCAGTTGGTGGGCGGTTCTCAGGGGGCCAGCATGTCGACCAAATAGCCTTTAGCCAGGTCGACTGGTCTGAAGCCATACACATCCCGAGCCTGTCGATCCGCTCCCACATTCAGCAGGTGTTGAATCGAGGTACGGTTGGCGAAGGCGGCGGCGGCATGCAAGGGCGTCCATCCCGCAATGTCCACGACGTCAATGTTCGCCCCCACGATCAAAAGCACGGCCGTGCAAAGGCCCGAGATGTCCGAGGTTGCGGCTGAATGAAGGGGCGTGGCGCCCTGCAGGTTGCGCGCTTCGATGTTAGCGCGGGCTTCCACCAGGTACTCCACCACGTCCACCCTGCGGACGCAAATGCAGAGAGCAGTTTATACCTCCGCTGCAACCATGCAAGGGGAATTAAAGGGCACGTCCAAGGCGTGATGGAGGATTAAAATATGTGATTTAGGCTTCCGCTGATCTCGTCCTCCGTACACTATTGCAAATTCAGCGGTCGTTTTAACACAGCTTCGAGATCAAGGAAGATCTACCTGGCTCTATAACGGCCATGATGAAGCATTCGAATTTCTGAGATGAGGCTCCCATCCCTTTAAACCTGCGCACTCCCTCCAAAAAATCTGACATTTTAATGTTCTGCTGTGTTTCAGCAAGGGGAGATAGCATGTTGCATTCTGGACGTGGTGAAGAATTAAAATTTCTGACATGAAACTTCCACCGCCTACTGTTCCGCACATCACCGCCAATACTGTGAACGTTTTAATAACACTCAAATGCAACTGCAATCAGTTAACGGGTTCTGTGCCTGTTTTAGGGGAGAATTTGAGTTTCTGTGATGAGGCTTCTTGACTTTCTGTGAGATTCCCATATCGTAGTGACAAGGAAAGGAGCTGTATGCGTTCTGATTTCTATATAGTTTTTACTGGGCTCAGACGCAAACCAGGAAAGATGTCGCGATGTGGGAGGTAAAGCACATTACTTAAATGACCAACCTCAGAGCACGTATTCACGGGCTGTAAAGCTAGCACGGGCTTCTGAGGTTGCCAGGTGATCAACATTTTTAGTCCTACGGATGGAATGCAAAGCTCAACTGCATAAAACTAATCGGTCAAAGCTCTCGTTCACCTGAATAGTGTGATCTGACGCTGGTGGATTCCTGAGGAAATGTTTGTGTGAATGGCACAATACATAGACTATCTTGACCAAACATGCTCACATTTTCAATTGTGAAGTAAAAGGAAGTAAACAACTAACGTAAATTGGATACTACGAGTAAAAGTAGTTGGTGGATAAATGATTGTCACCAGGGCCGTAATCTGATTTAAGATACACTTTATACAGGTGGACAATTTATCACAGTTTTATGGTTTATTATTTCCATTTTATCTCGTTTTGCATTTCTATAAAAGTTTAAACATTACTCATTTTTGTTAAATATTAGCAAATAAAATTAGAGCGTTTAAATAATATTTGTTGTATACATAAAAAATCTTCTCCAAGTGGGAACCTAAATATGTACACACTCTACAAATAAGTTGCATATAATTTATACTTTTGTTTGGACATTTTTGTATACGGGATTTAGAAACTCATTTCTCTCGACAACCGACTTAAGTTCAATAGTCCAAATTCAGTTTTCCCGTGTTCTGCAACAGGCAAAAAAGAACCATCTCATAATTCCCGAGAAAAAAGGGATACGTAGATAATTGTCAACGATATTTAGATGGAAAATGCGTAGATAATTTTCAACGCATTCTAGTTATTTTGTATTTCAGAAAAAAATTTCTATGGACATGTTCGAAAGGTCGAAAACAGTGGCTGTTATATCTCGGGAGGTGACTGTTGTTACCCGTGGGAATGTGATATTCAGCTCCGATCTACGCGTATACATGCAGAGATTTTTGTCCTTGCTGAAAGTTGTGCATTCGCAGCTTTCTGTGTATGGCTGCAGAGCGCAAGAACCACCCCAACGTGTGCGTGAGCGTCGGTGTAACGAAAAGTAACAGGAACGTACCTGCAGTTTCCCGCGGCGACATGTAACGCCGTGTTGCCTTGGGAGTCCGCTGCGTCAATGTGGATGCCGGCCGCCAAGAATTTCTGAACCTTCTCTAAGTCGCCCCGCCTGGCAGCCGCAATCAAATTCTCCACCGACACCACGTCCTCATATTCCGCCACCGCGGCCGCGCCCTGCCCCACAGCTCGAGCGGCGGAGGCGAAGGCGGCGGCAGCTGCTGTATGGGGATGGGTCCCGGCAGAGGCGCCGGAGGCAGAATCTTTGCCGGAGGCACGGCCCTTGCGGGTGCTTCCGTCCTTGCCGGAGGTGGCGCCCTTGCCGGAACCTCCGTCCTTGCCGGAGGTAGCGCCCTTGCCGGAACCTCCGTCCTTGCCGGAGGTAGCGCCCTTGCCGG